TAATTAAATTTGTCACTAAATTTTGGGGTTTAATAAGGAGTTGCGCTAATATTGCGCAACATAAAAATTTTCAACTACCACCATTTTATTCTATAGGGTCTTGGCATTCAGAAAATATATAATGTTGGGGGGTTTTACGTTATTTTCAGGCCTAAAATGTGGAATATAACATGGGTGCAAAAATGGAAAAAAGGGCCTCAGTCATGAAGGGGTTAAGCGATTATATTGAATCTGACCTAATTCACGGGCAGGGCAGAGCCAGCTCTTACTTCCTGCTCCAAGTCAGTATTTGCATACAACAGCATTCCAGATGAAGCATTTCCTGGTGACTCTAGAACACCAAGAACCTGCTACCAAGTTATAGCAGTTGTCAGCTGGTCCGCGTTCCTTAGAATCAGGGATTGCTGTGGGCCTGTGTAGGGTGCTGGACGCTCACCTGTCCGTTTTGGTTCTTCTCCTGCAGAGGAGAGGTGGGCTCGTCTGGGAAAGAACTGACATTTCTCCTCTTCAGCAACTGATCGTCTTTCTTGGCCTTGCGCAGCTCCACATTCACCTCCATCCTCCTCCGTCTCATCTCCTGCAAACAGAGAAAGGGGGGGGGGGCAGCCTGTGTAGAGAGCCCTCAATCCCAAACCCAGGCTTACCCTCCATGGCACACAACTCACCAAGCAGTCCTTGCCTTTGTTCTTGAAGAGGTTCAGACGGGCATTCTCATTGTTGGCCATGTTCACAGTATGAAGTTACAGCGAGTAGACGAGATCACACCTGTCGGGAAGGTTACAGATCGTGTTAGAGCGAGCGCGGCTGGCACATGACTTAACCCTTTGTTATCAACACAAACACGCGGAGCTGCTGAGGGGGACTGAACACTATAAATTACAGAGACAGTCAACCAAAATTCTACATGTAGGTTTCATAGTTTTTAATTAGGGCTGAGGAAATTAGATTCATTTCTCGGTTAATCGTTAAACTTTATTGATCAAAATAATTTTAATCGCTAATGAAAACACTCCACTCCGCCAGTTTCCGGGAGTTCCAGCGGCGATCTGGTGACATCAACGTCACTGGACTCCTCCCCCCCTTCCCTTCGTTAGCCGACGGAGCCACTTGGGGAAGGGGGAGGAGTCCGGTGACGATGTCCGTGACATAAACGTCACTGGACTCCTCCCCCTTCCCTTCGTTAGCCGACAGCCCCTGGGGCGGCTGAGTTTTCCCAAGAAACGGCTAACTAAGGGAAGGGGGAGGAGTCCGGTGACGTTGATCTCCGTGACGTCACCAGACTCCTCCCCCTTCGTTAGCCGACGGAGCCACTTGGGCCGGTGAGTTTGCCCAAGAAACTTTCTGCACGAGCGCCAGCCCAGGCATTGGCCTATACACATACAGCACAGCATTGGCCTATACACATACAGCACAGCAATGAAGTAATAACATGAACTAGGATCACACTCATCCAGCACGTTATTATTCCGAGTTGCCCCACTCAAGCGGCGGCCATATTGAGTGGGGCACGCGAGATGAATAACGTGCTGGATTAGTGTGATCCTAGTTCATTGTATTACCTCATTGCTGTGCTGTATGTGTATAGGTCATTGCTGTGCTGTATGTGTATAGGTCATTGCTGTGCTGTATGTGTATAGGGCATTGCTGTGCTGTATGTGTATAGGGGAATGTAGTTGGATCTGTATGTGCGTTATCATTCATCGATTAATCGAACACGAAAATTTTGATCATTACCAGCCCTAATTTTAATGTTTCTACCTTGTGAATAAAATGGTCGACAAGGATTAATTGTTTTTGAAAGTTCAAGTTTCCCGATTGCCCTACATTTGTACTATAAGCAAGTCCCCGACTTGGCACATTATAGGTCTGAACAGAATAAGGAAATGCAAATGTTAGGGCACCTATACCGAGTACTCCTGACAGCTAAGGGCATCACAGGGCATCTCTGGGCTCATGAGGTGGTGGAATCCAGGGCAAAGACTACATCTGGCAAGACCCTCTAGTCCAGTGGTGGCGAACCTTGGCACTCCAGCTGTGCCAAAACTACAAATCCCAACATGCATCTGCCTCTGGGAGTTATGTATGTGGCTGTCAGAGCCTTGCAATGCCTCATGGGACTTGTAGTTCCCAAACCGCTGGAGTGCCAAGGTTCGCGCTAGTCATTTATACCCAACAACCCCCAGGCTCACTTGCCACCTCCTAGTTATCAGCTCTCATTGCTGAGGTCACTATGGGGCTTCCGGTGTGTATGCACACGCTGCCATTGCTCAGGCACAGACACTGGGATGTGAAAAGGGGCGGTGACAACGCTTATCCAGCTAAGCTACACAAGAACCTTGGTCCGGTGACGCCACTAAAATAAGCCGGTCATGGGTGAAATGGTGCCATTGGGGTCCTTTTAATTTCATTACAATGTGAACACATGATAGACACCATAAGACGCTTGTGAATGGCCGCCATTTGAAGAAACCTTTAGCCCAAGACACTAGTAAAATACCTGCGGGACAATACCCAGGGGGTCCCAACCCCTGCAAGGGGGAACCGTCCCCCAGGGGGGGTCCCAACCCCTGCAAGGGGGAACCGTCCCCCGGGGGGGGTCCCAACCCCTGCAAGGGGGAACCGTCCCCCGGGGGAAGTCCCAACCCCTGCAAGGGGGAACCGTCCCCCGGGGGGGGTCCCAACCCCTGCAAGGGGGAACCGTCCCCCGGGGGAAGTCCCAACCCCTGCAAGGGGGAACCGTCCCCCGGGGGAAGTCCCAACCCCTGCAAGGGGGAACCGTCCCCCGGGGGAAGTCCCAACCCCTGCAAGGGGGAACCGTCCCCCGGGGGAAGTCCCAACCCCTGCAAGGGGGAACCGTCCCCCGGGGGAAGTCCCAACCCCTGCAAGGGGGAACCGTCCCCCGGGGGAAGTCCCAACCCCTGCAAGGGGGAACCGTCCCCCGGGGGAAGTCCCAACCCCTGCAAGGGGGAACCGTCCCCCGGGGGAAGTCCCAACCCCTGCAAGGGGGAACCGTCCCCCGGGGGAAGTCCCAACCCCTGCAAGGGGGAACCATCCCCCGGGGGGGGTCCAAGCCCATGCAAGGGAACCGTCATACATCTTCCCCTTCAAGGAGGATAGCAGTACACCCGTCCATAACACCCCTAACAACTGAACCCCAATATAGGAATGAGCTGAGTGAGGTGATGAGACAAAGCCCCGGAAGTTCTGTGAATGATCAGCAGCACTCTAACTTTACAGGCCCTTCAGCTAATCAGCATCAGCTTCCCCAGTTCAGACACGTTAGACTGAGTGATAAAGCGCCCCCTCCGCACCGGCCTCACTCTGGGGTGGAGACTACACCCCCCCCACCCCCTCCCAACAGAGGAAAGAGACTACCCAACTAAGTGTGCATAGAAGACTCATCCCAAAGTAGACACAGAGAGGCGCTCACTTCCAGGAATTAGAGTCAGCATAGCGGGGCGGG